CACTAGATGTCGACTCGCGACACAACATGATCGATTCATATTAGTATGGTTTCTAGACAGAATTGTATGTCTCACATTAGTATGGTTTCTAGACAGAATTGTATGTCATAGTATGAGATATATCGTTAGAAAAATATGTAAAAACAAACCCTATCATACATAGTTTAGAGACAGTGGCTTTTTTTAGACAAAAGGCATCATACCCGACTTAAAATTAATGAAGCCATCAACTGGCTAGGGGATACAATGGTATTGCAAACATTGGTACAGACTTGATACAAGAGAGAAGAGAAGGCGGTTAGACCAAGATGCTGAGTAGAGAGAAGGTCACACACAGCAACCACTAAAGAAAATTACAGGATCAAGTCGAAGATGAACTCCAAGCCGCAGAGGATCAACATGAGAAGAGGTCGTAGAGACGCACCAGATGGAGGGTGATAGGGCCACCATCGCAGGAATGAGCACCGTCGCAAGATTCAGGGCAGCAAGAGCCAAGGACAGAAGAGAGACCACCATCTATCTTCACATGTTGCCGGAGGGGAGACCTCATCTTCGGTCGCCCCACAGGAGCACCACCACCGGCCAGCAACTCCACAACACTGCCCGAGAGCGAACCACAGCAACCGGAGCTGGAAGCTTAAGGCGGCTACACACCAACATCCCTAGCAACCGACAAAGAAGAAGCCAATCGAAGCGGGGGGTTTCTGATTCGCTTCTTCTTTGTCGGTTGCTGGGGATTGCTTTCGCTAGCAATGTACGAGTGTGGCGCATCCGTCGATTTGGGGGTGGGGGGCCTCCAGTGTATATATATGAAGAAAAAATAAGTAATTCCAAAAAAATGATGAAACATTTTGAGAAATAAACTTCACCTTCTATTGTATTTGTATAAAAAATCGCCAAAACGGCTTTCACGGTATTGTGGATGAAAAAACAAAATCAACACTATATGCAAGTTATTATTCCCGCGGTCAGAAACCCCCCACGGTGCACGCCCACCTGGCAGACAAGCCCCTTACACTTGATGGGGAGGGCGGACCCCTGATGGGAACGCCCTGGTGGAGGGTGGCGAGTACTCCGATATACGATGGAGCAATGTTGAGGCTCGATGGATTCCTTGTTTTTAAAGTGCTCCAAATCACTGTTGAACCCAAATATTGTGTTTTTATAATATGAAAGAATAATCATATACTAGTGGAATTTCGCTTAAAAAAGAGTTGCCTAAGAAGTACCGAGTTAGCGGCATATAATAGTGAAGTTTTCAAAAAAATAAGTTTCCCGCGGCATGGATATTACCCTTAAAAAAGAAAGAAAATAAAAGATAAAAAATATTTTCTAAGAAAAAATGAAATAGT